GATCACATGAGGCTGAACAACCCCCAGTAGAGCTGCTGGTTTGGTTAGTTTCCAGACAGATTGGGCTACTCAAAGAAAGTCGTTGCTGCATTCGAATCACTGCAGGAAACCATTCTGTCTTGATTTTGTAAGTCTTTACCTAGATGTACGTATGTGAGTTGGTGAAATTTGGTGATGTCACTGCTCTGCTGCTCACTATTCTTGCTGGAGAGGAAGCTTTACCTGAAGACCTGCAATCATACCTCCCAACACTCTGAGGTGAGAAGGTTCCACCACAATGTATTTAGGCACTGGACACACCTGTCATGCCCCCAGTTATGCAGACTATTAAGAATTTATATACCAAAAATAATTGGTTAATCTAAAAAAAAATGTTTTTCACCATTGCTTTTCCTTTATATTGGCTTTTTAAAATATCAAACAATTTAATTAGGAGATATGATAACCTTTTTAAGTGCAAGATAACACTTTTGTTAGTTAAATAAAACCTTTTAATAGATATTTGTACAGACCAAGAATACAGACAACTGAGAAGGAAAGAGGGATTTGGTTCCAAATTAGGGACAGTCCTTGCAAATAAGGGACAGTTGGGAGGTATGCCTGCAGAAGATGCTTTTGCTACTGCTTTATCCATCATGTAGATCTGTGTTTTCTGTAACTCTACTGCTGTTTAATTATCCCCCGCCCCCCAGTTATCAGATCACCAATCAAAAGGGTGGCAGCTCTGGCATGAGGAAATAAATCCTTCTCTTCTACCAAAATGGCCACCTCCACACAGAGACACAGTGCAGAACAAGGAATTGGAAGTTAGTTATGTGGAAAGTATCAGCTGCAGGGTGTCTACAGGCAATACTGGTGACTAGTCCTTTGCCCTTTGCTTGCCTATTTGGGCACATCTTCCACAGTTTAGGTCCTCTGTAAATGTTAACTGTACTTAAAAAAACACTAGTGCACATGTGTCTGTTTCAGGCATAGGATGAATCACGATTGTCAGAATATTTACATATCAATGTTTAATAGTTAAGAATTCAGGTTTAACTCAGAACTACACAGAACATTCCATTCTAAGTTGGCATACCTGTATAAAAGAGTTAATGTTTATTTTAATTGAGTCAACAACACAAGCAAAAGTTCTCCAATATCGTGTGGGTAATTAAAGGATATCAAAACACAAGAACATCAATTTTATATGTTAAAGCTTTCCAGGCTGGTGTTTATTTTAGATGGTAATCCTGTGAATAACACACATTCTGTTCTAGGAAGACAATGCTCACTCCTCCACTGTATCTATGGAGAGAGCCATGGTTGCCACCCAGGCTGAACTTCAAACATGTCATTCTCTCTCTATCAGAAGGCTGATAAGAGATGTTTTGCTTTCAACTCACATAAAGTTACAAAGACACAGCATTTCTGGCAAGATCAACAGGTATGTTCTATACATGTTAAAATGGTCTCAGCCTTAAAAAGGAAAAGTAATCAATTCACTAAATCTAAGAACTAGTAAGATACAATATATTACATTTTTGTTTTTTGGTTTAGATACTCTTTAAATTGAAAATTAGTCTAAATAAAAGGTAACATTTGAGAAAAAAAATAATAAGGAAAATATGAAATATTGCATATTAATATTATGGATTGTTCTAACCAGCCAATAGTTGGAGCTTTAAGCTCCTATTTACATTTTATACAATAACTCCTTTATGCCTTTACTGTACAAAGCCTGATGTTTACATAGCTCAAAAGCCATGTTGAAATTTACACAGATGAGTAAATGTCAGAGGAGTCATGTCTCTCTCTCACCCTTTCCCTTAATGCCTCATTCAATCCTCTGTTAATGAGAGACACAATTCTTGAAATTAGATACCTACCCTGACTGTCACTTTAGAAAACCCAAAGTGCTCTGGGAATCCTTTGTCATGTATTCAATGCATGGCTCTAATATACAGTATGTACATATATTAAAAACAGATATAGAAGATCAGTTTGAATGTGGACTGTATGAACTTAAAACAAACACTATTAAAATAAAATCAACCCCAAGTACTGTAGTTTTTGTTATCATTTATATTCCTGCTCTCCATTATGAGGCTGTCCAAGGACATTAAGGGTGGTAAATACAACACAGTAAAAAATCAGCACATGGAGAATCTGGTGCTGGGGATGTTACACTCTTGTAGTGGCCATGAAGGCTGGGGTGGGATTAAAGAATGGACCTGTAGCAGGTGAATATTACTGGCAGGCTCCCAAAGTAATGTATGCAACTGGCAAAAAGTGTATAATATTTTTAGTACATCTTGGCTGGATTTACAATCAGACACACTATGCCTATAGGTGGCAGTGGAAGAGGGGCGGCTTTTCCCCATATAGCTATCGGCGACACATTTTTGTCATCTCCTATAAGATTATTCACACATTGTCACAATGTTTTAAACCAGGTTATGACTAGAAGTACAATAGCATATTATATGTAACAGTGGTGACCCCAACAGAAGAGAGTTACTTTGGGCACCAAGTGTTGTACGCCTACAGGCACCGGTAATGGAAATCCAGCCATAAATATACCACAAAACAGGCTGTGGGCGGCCAGTAAAATACATCTGCCTCGTATATGGCCAGGTCAAGGGATTTAAGGAGATTCAGTAACAATTATTACATGTTAAAGATATAAAATTGCAGAGAAGATAATTCTATAGTACAAGTATGCACAGCGTTTACATTATACTGTTGTAACCACCTGTAAACAGATTACTATTATCACCCGGCTGAATGGATAAGCCAAAAACACTATAGAACATTCTACAAATGGCCAGTTGCCTTCAACAGTAATTTCTTATGCAATGTTTCTCAGGTTTGTTCTACTGTGTCTGTTGGCATGGATACAGTGACAGCTGGTTGTTATAAAATTTGTGGTAATCTTGTGCAATTCTTCCTTCACTTTCCACCATTTTTTGCTGCCCATTTTCATTTTTGTGGGGAAATTTTTTAAAAATGGCGGGAGTTTAAAAACACACACACACACACACACACACACACTTCTCTTCCATGCCATTTTTACAATACCCCGTTTAAATGGTATAACGCAATGATAGTGACATGGGTAAAGCAAACAAGCGTTGGCACAAAAAAAGTAAAAGGATTCATGGCTTTATGCCTCCTGCACTACCAACTACAAAACTACTGGTTTACAAGAAATATGTTCGCAAGACTATTACAAGGTAAAAGCAGGACATTATGGAGCGGTACCCTGTCCTGCACAGCCTTTTCTATAAATACGACTAGTAAAATATTTGAATCAAATGTGGAACATTTCATGTGGAATATGGCTACCTGAAACATTATATTATGAGTGGATGGCATGAGGAATGGATAACAGAAAATATTGTGTTGATGCATTGCTGTAATGTTTATAGAATGGATGACGGAGCGAGAGTATGGCTGGAACCTTATGAAGGCAGGGAGAATGAAAATAAATTAAATATAAGGGTTAGGTAGAATAAATTGCCTTCCTGATAGTTTTATGGCATGGTCTACAGCAAAGCTGCCAATTCTAAAGCAGTGCTTCACAAACCTGCCCTTAAGTACCACTAACACTGAATTCAACCTTCTTTAAAGGTGAACAAAATTTTTAGATTTAAAAAAAAAACTGTTACAGTGTTTTGACCTGAAAGTCAGGGAAGCACGCGCTGTACTTGAGCCAGATATGGGGAAAGCTACACTAAACCTCCCCAGAACCAATTTAATTATATGCCTAACGGAAGTTTTATCTCAGGCATAATGCTGTCCACAGTGAATAAACAGATATCTATGTTCACCTTCACCTGCAGTATTGGAGAGTCAAAAGAAACAGTTGATTGGTTGCTCCAGGCACCACAACTGTTCTGAGGCAGTCCATACCCAGGAACATTGATAAAAACCCAATTGAAACCTCCGTATTTATTACTGTAAAGCAGTTAGGCTGCATATGTAGTATAAAAATGTAGGACTTTTTAACTTTTTTGACCACTAAGTGCTGCAGCAAGCGTCAAAGCACAAAGGAGAGCCAGATAGCTCTCTCTTACACATAACAGCAGCCCGGCTCTCCAGCAGACTGACAAGACCCTGACCACTGCTCTAATTAACAGAATAAGCAGTGCTATTGATTGGATAAATGATCAGTGGGGCATGTTGGAGTACTTCTCTTGTGTAAGAAAGCCATTGTCCAGTTCTCTTATATACTGCCAGCACAGGGTATTTTAGCCTTGCCGCGGCACTTAGCAGTTATAAAATGTAAAAGAGTCCTATATTGATTACTGTATGCAGCCTGGCTGAATTACAGTAATAAATAGCGTGGGTTCAATGGAGCTTTAAATAGGGCCTCTGATTACTACAACAGAGTAAAAATAAATCTGACAACTTCTGTTTTATTCTTTTTGTCCCATCTTATTTCTGTTTGCCTATGTTAAATATCCTTCCTGAATTTGAGTTGAATACACTTTATATTGTACTATTATAATGATTGTAAAACTTTATTAATGGCAATAGAAGATAATGGTCCACATTTCAGTAGTCTAATGGAGGTAGATGCTGTAACACAATTGCCGCTAATGAAATATGGAAGACATCATGAAACAGGACGGGTATCTTCTACTGCACTGCATTGTGGAGCTGCTGTGAATTTAGATGGGCTTCACTCCATTTCATTCATCGAATGTAATGCACGGGTACACAGAAGCAAAAGGATTCACATGAAGCGATTGTTACATGGACCTGGGTCTGTCTGATTCTAATTCTACAGTTCCACTTACGCTTTCCACTGTCTTCACTCTCCGTTATAAGTATACATAGTAATCTACAGTGGTTCAGTTTTCAAAATAATAAACAACAAAAAAGCAAATAAACCAAATCAATAGTCTCATTTCAGGGTTACGGCTGCATACATCACAAATTATGGTATATTTAGATTGAATATACATATTTGTGTATATTAAGCTCATAACCAGGTATGATATAAGGGTTCTTACCTGCTTCAGAGAGGTCCCTAAGGGAGCTGCTGAGGGCACTGCGTTTAAGGCCCTCTCCTGTGGCGTAACTGTCATCAAGACACGTCCGGTTCAAAGTGCCATTACCAGACTCCTTTTTCAAGCTGGAACACTGAGATATGCTTGGACGCACCACCCCCTTCTGCTTCTCTAACTCCGCTAAAGCAAACAGAATAAGTATACGTAGGGCATTATTAATATATATATACAATCCCTATATTTCTCAACAAAATTATGTGGGAAGAATTTAAGGTTTCAGTCTAAAAGATGATGACTCTCCAGCACTTTACCCACTTTCAAGGAATTATTCTCTTATACATATTAAAAATGTTTTTTCCTTTGTTGATATTTGTGTAGTATTTTTATATTCCTGACATTTTCTATAGTAGTTGCCTTGTAGTATATTATATCTCTCTCTTTAAGTTCATCCTTTCCAGAATGCTTAATTATAAAAAAAAAATATTTTCTCTTTCTTCCTCCTATTTTGAATCTACTACATGGCTCCCCACCACTAAACACTGCTCCAATGTTTTCCCACTAATGCATTCCAAAAATGTTTTGCCGCAAAACTCGTGGCTTCATCAGTGGATAGTGTGCAAAGTGCTCAGAGTCAGTGCTTAAAACAAAGTGCCATCTCCATCTTGGCTCTGCTTCTATTTATAGTCTTCTAATCACATGGACACTGCGTCGCAATGCAATGACTTCATCACACAGCGTGCCTCATCATGCATGCCACGTAATTACGTCAATGACGCCATTGCATTCCACTTCTAATCATTGGCGCTATTCAACTACATCATTTTCTTTTGGCGACTTTAGCTTTAAATAGCGTAACTCCCCATAATTTAACGCTTTCTTAGTCTTCCCTTGAGTTTTGTTTTGTAATACTGCAAATATCAATTAATCTATTTGTTAATTTGCAAAGATTCATTCCTCTACTGCCATCAACTTTATTTTACTTTAACCTCCATCAATTATAAATATTTATTTACAAATGTAACCTTTACCTACATACCAGATATTCCATTTATATTTTTATTAATTATTTACACCAATTTATTACCATTTGACTTCTTGTACTGCAACCTCCAGCAGTTACATTAGCACTTTAACCTGCAATCCCCAAGGGAAAAAAAGAGGAGGATAAAGTATGCATCAAAAAAGGAAAGATGATTGCAGGTTAAAGTAGAAGTGCTAATGCAGCTGTTCTGCAACATAAACAGAAAAAATAAGGGTGGTCCTGTGTAAAAGTAGAAGTGTACCACATATCAATGATTAAAATGTTATATCTTGATTTCCAGAACTAAATTATAAAAGGAAGCATCTGATTGGTTGTTTTAGACACATCCCTACTTTTTCTTTATACACCTTTACATCTTCCCATGTTAGTAGTCTCTAAATAACAAAACAAAGACTAGAGTGTAGAAACATTCTATATACATTTAAAGCTTGTGGAAGATTAAGTTATTTTCTTAAATAAATCCATAGGGTATATACCTTTGTACTTACACTCTATTCTGTACTTTTCCATTTCTTGAACCTCTGCAATGGACTCTCTCAAATCGTCCGTGAACTTCTTGCGATCTTGAGGATTTGGAGCGTTAAAGTTGATCAAAACCTTAACGTCAGCTCCTGGAACTGCTGATGTGAGACGGATGCCATTTGGATAATCTGTAAGAAAGGAGAACATTTGTTAGAGGAGTAATACATTAAAAAAAAACAAATATTTAGACTAATGTATATCACCCAAAACTTTTTAGGTTAGTTTTGGAGAAAGGAGTAGGGAAGGATTAAAACGCCTGTCAGTTTATTTCTTCTGTCTGGGTCCCGTTAGGGACATTTCTCTTTACCTCCCATCCAGAGATGCAACGGGAAGTAAAATCTTGAAATCTCATCTGAACAGCTTTCACCTGAACAGGTCTCTTCAGTGGAATATTTACCCTCACATTTTGTTGTGGTGACAACTGTAAAATTTGGTATTTGCCATCACTTTCTGTCTTGAAAACAATGATCACAAGGACATATAGAGAGGATGAATTTCTCCAGCAAAGTAACTTACAACAAAAATATAAGAGAGGTTCTAACACTTCTCACGTTATCCAAAAGTGAAAACAAAGTTTTGGCTCTACATACTCTTTAAGTTGTAATGCATTTAGTGCTTCCCAGCCAGTATTTTTTTTTAATTGACCTACCATAGAAACAATGTGGTGTCAATACTCCTTGCTGACACAGAGCTGACCACTGGACACACTTTGTTAATTTTTTTGACCCGTCAAAACTCCATTAGTAATGTCAGGTGCTTCTCCACCATGTAAAAGCAAACGTTTCCATTAAAACCATAGAAAAATATATTTTACTGACTATATACAAATTTAAAAATAAACAAAAACTTATATTTCTTTTTTGTTAGGAGAGCGTAAGAAGCTGCTAATTTTGCTAATTATTTATTTTTTTAAACTGGTGTCTCCAGGGCTGTCATCCTGATCCTACCTATTTTGTGATCAGTGAATCATCACCCAGCTTAGTAAATGGGGCTAAGCTGTGTTCACTTCAATCAACTGCAGGAAAAAATAAATTCCGTTGCATATGATTGGGTATTGGAAATGAACATAGCTTCACCTTACTTATTAAGCTCAGTGAACATTCAGTTTGAAAAGTGAACTACTCCTTTAGTAAATCAACCCCACTGGACTGAATGAAGCCTGCAGCAAAGTCTTAAAAGTCTTCCTTCCATCCTGCATGCTTATTCCAGCTTAGCCACTCAATAAGTAATACAGCCAGGTTTACGATAGTGGCTATGATACCTGCACCTTTAAAAATAAAAGTCAGCAATGGTAGTTCGCATATTTTTTTTCTTCACGGGTTCCATTTAATATAAATCATTTGTAGCTGGTTGTTTTCTTGAATGAGGAAATAACAAGTTTTCATATCCTTCTCTTTATTCCCCATTTTTTCTACTTATTATTGCTGACAGTTGCTGGGAATGTGAAGGCAGGAGAGATGAATCTGCCTTGTGTAATTCATGAACCTCTTGGCAGCTTATCACATCTGTTTTTGTTCTCTATAGCTACGAGGTATAGGAGTGACTGCCTGTTACAGCTTTTCTTCCAGCACCTAAGACATGTGTTAATTCTGCTCACTTCAGAACTATAATGGTAATGTTTTAGCAGATCATTCATATATTACGGGATGCCCATAAATCCGTCATAAATGCCCAAGAGGCAGCAGATGTCATGTAATAGCAGCTAGCTGTGTCATTCCGACTTCAAAATCCCAAAAGAGAAATGTGTGAATCGGGAGGAAAACATTAACTATTCTCCTGTGCAATCTGTCAGGCTCTGTACAACGTGAAGCACGGAATCCAATCTGCGCTGCATAAAATGTAATGTGGCTTTTCACTTATTTGCATTACATCACAAGGCCAGACCGAATATATACTAGCTAGCGCAAGTCAGGGATTAATGGGTGTAGAAGAGAATGCTGAATGGCCAGAGGTAGAACATAGATGGCAGACAGACCAACAGGTACATGAGAAATAGACAGACATAGATAAAATAGAAAAACATTCTTGTATATTGCCACAAAATCTTATTTGTAAAGCCTATCTCCAGGCACAAAAAAACCCCCCTTTGCTTCTGCAAGGGATAACTGCTTGTTATTGTCTAGGGGGATTTTTTAAAAGTAGTTTTACTTACATGATCCCTGATCCCGCCCCACAATGGCAGCTAACCTCTCCCCCCCTCTGCTGGAGGGGAAAAGAGGTTACAGGCGCTGGTCTTTGAGCCATTGGGAGCGGGATCAGGTAAGTAAAAGCGCTGTAATTAATCCCCCTAGACATGAATGAGCAGTTACCCCATGCACTGAGGGGTTAGCCCCACTGTAAGGGGAAGCTTTATTTCTGTCTAGAGATAGGGTTTAACTCTTTTTAAATGTTTCTCTGTAAAATACTTTATGATTTTATTCAGAAAAAAAAACACCAATTGCCTATATTTCTCCATAATTAAATATATTTTTAGATTTACTTTCCCTTCACTCCTCTGATTCGATCCCAGTGAGAACGTCCATGGGGTTGTGGAATCTCTCCTCACTCCTAAGTGACAGCGCTGGGTGCCAGAACAACCAAATGCCAAGTACCAGAGCTGACACACAGGAGAGAGGGAGGGATGAAGAGAAGGAGGCAGTCATATTCCCCTCCATACCTGGAAGCACCATGAATTTCACGTTGCTCTTGTCAGCAAATGGAGCAAAGGATGAGTACATGACTCACTCCCCTTTCTCCTGTGTGACAGTGCTGGATATTGGTGCATAGTCACTCGGGCACCAGCAGTGTCACATGGGGGTAGAAAAGACTTCTCAGCCCTGTGTAAGCTCCAAGGTAGATTGACTCCCCACTTACAAAGAGCTCTCTCCTTGGTATCAGCAGCAAACAGGGCAGTTGGGTAACAGAAGATAGAAAAGTATAAGCTTCTGCAGGAACCATCATTAAAGTAAACCTGTACACATTGCTCCCTCTTCCTGTCAGTCCTGCTGCACAGGGAATGATAAAAAGCTATAAATACGTATTTATAGTATCTGAATTAAATAATATATTAATTAACTTTTTTAATGAATACATAACTCATATAAATGGTGTATGTCTGCCTGTAGTTTAATGTTATATCAGCCTGTAGTTCAAATTAATAAATCTTTACAGCATGAATATTACCCTGACCTTTTGGGAAGAAATGTAAGATTTGCTAGTGATTTAAGATGAAACAAAAAAGCACATCTATTGCAAGTTTTCCTGCCTTGTGTGCTTCTGGTGACTTTATTTTAGCAGAAACACGCAGTGTAGCTTTCAAGTGAAAAAAACAAATTACTAGGCCTGCTGTTGAAACATCACATGTCTTGTGGAAATGAATCTCCTCCATCATTGTCAAGCCAACCACAAAAGAGGCATCATCAGCTTTAAGAAAGAGAAATTAGAGGCACACAGCCTGAGCTAAATTGTTCGCCAATATGATAGCATTTTCCCTATGGTCAGTAAATGCCTGGGCTTGTGCTTTGGACACACGAGAATTAAAGTCAGCATATTCACATAACCATATTTGGCTCTCTTAAAGCTGAACTTTTGGGTAATCAACTACTGTCTAAATACAAGAGGCATGTTTAGGGCTCGTTTGCACCATGGTGTTGCATTAAACAGCTCCTGGCGGCTGTGCAGAGCAGCATGTGGTACTGCAATACCATGCATTGCGGTGAAAAAAGTAATGCATGCAAGTTATTGTGGTACCGTGTGTTGTGCTGCACTGCACGGCCACCGGTAGGTGCATTGGGTGACATTTAAATGAGTGGCACCCCAACACAACACTCCTAGCACATGGTATGGTACATTAAGTGCGCTGTGTGATAGCGTGCATTAAATGTGTGGTATTGGACGTTTAACGTAACGCCAAGATGTAAACAGACCCTCACTCTTACTTGGATCTTGGTGTGTTTTGTGCAGGAGCTTCCGGTAATAAGACTGGTCACTGCTGCTTTCCTTGCATAGGGAGGTCTGAGGCTGCATACTGCATTGTTGCATGAATCAGTCTTGGAATATTGATGATGGAATATTGCATACAATTCTGCTAGATGACCATGACATTACTGTAATGTATACACACTCCTGGACGCATGTTGTGATCTTTTAGCAGCATTTTCTGTTTTCAGTAGAGCAGTATACAATTCTCTTGATGTATCTGGATAATGTCCGTCGGGAAAGGTTTTCTTCAGCAAAAAAGCTGACAAAAACCTTACATGGCAGACTAGAGGGTTCATACCAATATATCTTTTTTTGACTGAAAATAAAGCAGACAAAGCACATCTAGCTTTCTTCTCTGGCAAAAAAACAAGTAGTTTTAGGAGTTCTTGGACTGTATTGTTGGTGCAGTCAGCTGATGGGGGACTAACACTGCTGGACATTCTTCCTGTTAAAAATAACGGTAAGTGTAACTTTATCAAAACTGAGGATATGTACTTGTCTCAGAGTCTCTGAAGAATTGCCAATATAATGTGTTACCTAAAATAAACAGAAACTGCATTTTCAACAATACTGCCTGCAGCCTCCTGACTCTGAGTACACCCTACTGTGTTCTGAAATACCTGCTTGGGGGAGACAGGTTTCTCATTCATCTCAATGCAGAGCAGGTCTAAGGCCTTATTCGCACGGGGTGTGTTGCTCCATACAGTGTAACAGGGCAGTTTTTGATGCGTCTGGGGCTGCGGGAACAAGCTTGAGGGCAGCTCATGTAACTCTATGGAGAACCAGGAGCTTGGCACCCTCACATGCTGCTTTCCACATCTCCGAGATTTCGAGTCTCAATAAGGTGACTGCAGTTGGTGTATTTCAGAATACCTCTCCTGAATTACAAACAGGTTAGTGAAGGGGTTTTCCTGACCACAAAAAGGCAGTAGATTGTCCTGGTACACTTCATCAATCTTTTGATAAAAACTGACCTCTGTACAGATTGGTTGTTGTCTCTGTATTTAATTTAGTTTTAGCTGGCAGTTGTTAGTCACATTCAAATGGGTGTGTTCTTTAATAATGAAGATATTTTGCTACTCACACAAGTAGCTTCCTCAGTTCTGATAAGTGCGCGGAACATATCCAAAACTGACAGCCACACAGCCTACTCACTTATCTTAATCCTATATTTCAAGTCCTAATTTCTCATTTTGACTGGAGTCTAAGGGGTTGATTTACTAAAGGCAAATAGGCTGTTCACTTTGCAAGGGAATTTACACTTTGCCGGGGAAGATTCCCTTAGCTTGGTAACTGTGAAATTTCAGTTTGCAAAGAATACCCAATCACATACAAGGAACAAAAATTTTATTTTGGCTTGCACATGCGATGGAAGTCAGCAGAGTTTCACCTCTTTCACTAAGCTAAGGGGAAACCTCCCCTGCAATGTGCAGATTCCCTTACAAAGTGAACAGTGTATTTGAGAATCAACCCCTAATAAAGGAATCTAATAACTTTGTTCCATCTACTACAAACTACAACATTTACTGAAACACTTACATTGATTTTCAAACAGGATCACTTGCATTCCACACAGGGAAAATGACTGTCTAAAGCTGTAGGTTACGGAATTTTTCTTCTTTTGGAAGATTTTTGTTACCTAGAATAAAAAAAGACAAGATAAAAATAGCAATGGAGGAGACATTTTATGAAGGAATGTAAGGCTGGAACAAAATTGCTGAATATACTAACCACTTCACGTTAAAAAAACATCACTATATATTGTGGTCCATGCGTCTAGTTATAACTCCCAACTGTTCATCATTAGAACAAAATACCTTTTTTCCCTCTTAATATTCACATAAAAGATCTAGAAAATAAATTTACTATTTATGTCCATCTAAGTTACTGGTCGGTATTTTTTAGTGCTGATTTACAGTTAGATTATCAAAATGTATCAGCCAAAGATTTAAACCTTATTTATTCATCAACGTAATGACAGAAAATTTAAAGAAATGTGAAAACAAACAAAGTGAGGCTGATTTACTAAGAGAGCTAAGCATGTTAATATTTACTTTAATTATCTAATCATGTGCAGATAAAATAAGTAAACACGGATTTTCTTTTCACATCATGCCATAATTACGTGAATCTCCACACAAGTTATGTGAACATTCTCAACTCTGTTAATAAATCAGTCTTGGTATATTAGCAAATTTGTTGTTGAGGTGTGGTACTAACACACTTTCACTTAGTACCTTTCTATATAATTCTATAAACTTTTAAATTTGTTTAGTTTGAGAATACAATTGTTTACAATTATTAGACTAAGCAATGGGTCATTGATTGAAATCATACCCATAAATACATATCAATAATCTACAGATTTGGCATAAGAGCTTCTGTCTGGGAAGTAAGGTTTTAGGGTTTTGGCACTAAAGGTAATAGCCTAGAGCCCTAGATATATACTACAGCTGACTACTAGCAGAGCTAGAAGGAAAAAAAGGAAAAGGCTGAGCACTGCAGGTTTCAGTGCTACATTTTATTTGGACTAACTGAACAAGCCTTAGACAGACATAAACTCTTTCCCAGGTCAAGCAATTATCATATCTTAAAGCCCAACTCCAGGAAAAATATTAAATTCGCCAGCTGCATAAATGAGATACATTATACTGTGAGCGGAATTTATCAAAACTGGAGAAGACAAAATCTGGAGTTCATGGCAACCAATCCTGTCTTTAATTTTCAAAGCTTAACAAAGCTGGACAAACTGAAAAGAGAAGCTAATTGGTTGCCATGGGCATCTGCTCCAGTTTTGATAAATCTCCCATGTATATATTAGAACCTGTGGCTTCATTGCCTAACCAGCGGTTTCTAAAGTATCCTGAGGAGGATCTGGGCAGTGGTGCAATATAATTTCCTGCACTGTATCTGCAACTACATGTCCCATGATTCCTTGCCATTGTTTTTCAAGGGTGGAGTTGCAGGAGGAGCTGGGAGGAGGGGATGCAGAGGGAGACATAGGGAAGTTGCAGTTGGAACAGGGCAGGCAGGCTTCAGATGGATGATAACTACACAGGGCAGTAAGGAGACTGGTCCCCTTACAGATAATGAGCAGCTAAAAGTGCCAGATCATCGAGGCAGGAAAAATGGATTTCAGGGGAAGGAAACTTTGAGAATATCACTATTTGTGTTAGGAAGATGTGTTTGCAACGACCACAGATGAGAAAGGTACTTTTGCAATGTACAGTTAAAACACGATTTTTGCCCAGAGTTTGGCTTTTAGCATTACTGTATAATAAGAAGGCAATATACATTTTTTATTTACAGTGCAAATTGTTATTGGATAAAAATATAATCCCAAGTAGTAAAAGGAAGACTAGGAAATATATCTGCTGAACATGCACCTTAAAAAGTCAGCAGTGGAAAGTCCCATATTTCGAACAGGTTCACTTTAAGCTAAGCACATTTTGCACATTCAGGGTAAATATTGTGTTAAAAGGCTGAACAGCATAATAAAGAAACTGGTAAACAGTATTTATTATTTGCTGTTTTCTGCTTGTATTGGCTTTTGAAGCATCCAATACATCCCATAGCATATCTATGTTTTGTTTGCATGGGAACTGTATTGCAAAAATAACCATAAGCAGTTGCCGATAGACACCCAATGAAAAAAAGGCTAAATATAAACTATAAGTCCATTACTGCCTTTCTGCAGGCCTGTATTTGCCATTTGGCATTTATGAGTGCCCAGGACAGCACGCTTAAAGAGGGCAGCACCAAGTCTCAAATTGTACAAACTGCTATAACTTTTTCCTTACTTAATTTTCCTCTGCTCCCCTCTGGTCATGTGTGGCTAAATTAAGCAAGATAACTGTGCATGAATTGTTAAGAGGAGTCAGAAGGCTCTTTATAATTCAAGAAACACAAAGCCATATTTCCTTTCTCTTGTTTGGTGGTACTTATATTTAAAAATACTATCATATAAAGCAGGCTTTATGCTGCCCTAATTAGTGCATTGTAACGTGTTTACACATGACACAGGGGATAGAATCGGTGTACAAAAGGTCATCATCATTAAGATGCGCCTTGGGCAGCATGATGTCTACAAACAGTCCTGCCTTTCCCTCTGGGGTAAAATATTATATTTATCAGAAAAAGAAATGTATGATTTCATCAAGTGTCTGCAACTACAATCTCTAAATGTTATCATCTATCTATAAATTAATAAGAAGCGATAAACATCTAATGTACAGTATGTCTGGTCTATCACACATGAATGAATGCAGCTTGCAGCCCTACAGAATCCAAACAACACAGTCTGCCGCTTTTTTATATCTGCAGCTATACAAAGCACCATTTACAATTCCATCAGCGGGAGGCTTCATAAGAATTCAGATTAAGACAAAAAGGCATCTTCTTGATCTGTAAATCTATTTTGGGAGAAGGGATGAAAGCATCAAATTTATGGTGATAAAACTTTTAGCAGTTTCGGATGCCTCGAGCTGTACAATTAATGTCACAAGATTCCTCGTCTGCCTTTTTGTTACTTATAAGTAGAGCACATACCTCTCTGCCTGAGCTCCACTGGCAAATTCTATTGATAATAAAATATCCTGTCTAATATCTGTCTGCACCTGACATTTCCTCTGATGAACTCTTTTTTAATTCAATACATACCACTAGCAGGTCATTAAATAGGAAAATTTCTCTCTGATGCAAGCCAAGTTTCTGTGGCTTGTTTGGATCAGGAACTTCAAAGAGACGACAGTAGCAGACCAACCTTCGGTGTGGTAGGGAGAGAACCTGTTGTAAAATGCAATATATTACACACGAACATCAACGTATGAGATTAAGTAAATGTAAAAGCCATATACAGAAAGAGCTGATCATCCAGAAACTGCAACAACATAATTTAGGGCCTGAATGGGGTGAATGAGCAATGTCATAGTTTAAAGGAAACTGTGGCCTTGCTATGGTCATTAATATGTTCGCAGCAAGCAGTAGGCGGGGATTAAAATAAGATCTCACTAACCTTTGTATCTGTAGGCACTTTGGAGCAATTCATCCTCACATTTTACAGAAGAAGCCCTGCAATTATTAGTCCTAATCTCAGCAGCTCTGCTCCACCTCCTAGAGCTCCTGCTTTGTTTTATATTAGAGATTAGATGGCCGAAAGGTTGTTGAATCACTACTGGGAATGGGGGGAAGTAGGGCTGAGCTGCTGAGAAAGGGACCTGAACAACTTCCATTGTGAACTTAGAGAATACATTGCTCTACCAGTGCCTGCAGCTACAGAGGTCACCAAGGGCTTGTTTTAAAGGTCACTTACCGCTTGAAAACAATATGAATATTCTTGAATATCTATCAACTGGCCAAGGTTTCATTTAAACCCCTGCAGATGAGAATTAAAAAAAAAACCTAATCTAGGTATGAACTGTGATACTGAGATCATAAATACGTTGGTTTATACCTGTGCATATTTGCAGTTTATGGCAAAAGATTACCCCCACCAACAAGTTTATTTTCACTTTAAAAAAATATGTAACCTATTGAGGGCTCATTCAAACCTTAGCAGTATTTAGTGAGTTTGCACACATGGGAAACCACAAGCAAAGTGTTGTACATTGTTAAAAAGGAGGGTGTTCAATATGTGCTAAGGTGCTATAACTGGTGTGAAAAAACTATTTTGACATGTAGCTGTTAGGGTGTATTTTCCCATAAAGAGTAACAGAAAACTTCCTGTAAGGGGACCTTTCAATGTGCACTGAATGCTTTGTAAAATCTGTATGTTATTTTCTTTCACTACGGGCAGAATTTTCACATAGATGGTTCTCATGAGAAATGCAAATAGCAGAACTCCCTCGTCTTTAAAATACAGTGGCAACAGCTATGATTCTATACTGCATTAGTCAATTCAGATTGCCAGTCTGAAGTTGATGCTAGGAAGTAAACAGGCTTTTCACTCCCATTATTCTTTATTCATATTTATATCTTCCTGCTCAGAAAGGTTTATTGCCCAACTCTGTATAGGTGACATTATTGATACACTGTTAGACATTTACATTTTAGCTGCTGAATCATACACAACTCTCCTGTTGAATGACCTTTGCAGGGAAAGCTCTTGGTACAAACATGTACAGTTGCTTAAGGCGAGTGTGTATGCTTGTGCCTATGCAGAAGGGAGGGAGAGCGCGATTAGCAGTCTTCGTTGATACCAGACCCGCTTGGGGGAAAACAATAGCTATTGACTGGGAAACAATCTAATCTGATTGTTCAATCTACAATTTGGAAGCTCAGGCAAAGGGGTATCTGCATGATTTGGTAGGGCCTGCAAACATGCCCCATTTTAACCATAAGCAGATTAGGGTTTTATTCTGAAGTCTGTAGGCACCTTGTATTTAAAAGGTAAAATTTAATGAGGGGAATTTATCAAAGCCAGATAAAATCTGGAACAGTTGTGCATGGCAACCAAATTCTATCTTTCATTTTCAAAGCATAACTGAACAAACTAAAGAGAGAAACGTATTGGTTACTATGGGTAACTGCTCAAGATTCTGTCAGCTCCAGTTTTTATAAATGTTCCCCAATTTGTTTGTCAATTTAATTTACCTTTCATATGTTTACAAGTTTAGAAACTGATTTTTAACATAATTTTCTCATTCCAAAAGATAAATATTTTGTTTTTACCAATAAACATTTAATACAGCCTAACTCCATAATAGGTTTTCCTTGAGAACATTCCTATTAGAAAGCCCAGCACCAGCACTGCACTTGTTTGCTGCCTCTTACTAATTTAAAAGCTAAATGGCTCCATATAAGGAGATTACAGTGGATTTGTCCCTTTTCCGATTCAGCTGTTTGTGAGTTCTGAATAGAGCTAAATAGCTGGGAATCAAATGATACCACGTTGGCCCATACTATACCTGTGGAACATAAAGATTCTGGTTACAACGTCTGACTATACACCATCCTTTGTAATGTCTAATTTAAGATATGAAACCTCCTTTAAAGTAGATCTGTACTTTGCCGATGCAGGGTACAGCAACAGGTTCACTTTAGTACTTTAACAATCCTATTAAAGTCTTACACATTTAATGTCTTTATATTCCTGTACACATTAGGATTTGTGACTCATTTTTGGTTGGAGAGGCTTAAAAATTGCTTTTTCCTCTGTGAAAATGCTTCTTCCTGACTTTCACTCCGGGGCTCGATGCTGACATAGCTGAGTATTAGCCATCTCCCTCAGCACAAGCTTTCCAAGACACATTTGTATTGCAGAAAAGGGGAGGAGGCGTGTCAGACCTCTGTTACAATGGTTACAATATCTAACATTGTTTGGAATAGGGGTAGTACAAAATTCACGTTTAAACAACATTGTCTGACTAAGTCAGCTGTTTATTTAAAACAAAATTAAAGCATTGATGAGAATTGAACTGCCATAAAACGATCTCATTGAACTATAGGGAGCCTATATAGCTGTATTTCCTATTTTAGAGATCCATCTCTACTGTTCTGTTGAAATAACTTATTTTTTTTTTTAAATGTATGTTACTAAGAATGTTTTATAAACAGTGGCACTTAGGGGGTGTAGGTATAAAACATTTGCAGAGCGAACAGCTTTGAGAATGTCTGCATTTTAGATCTACAACACATTATGGGCACTGAATGGAGCCAAGGTGCATTGGAATCTCCTATGCTCCCGGGCTGAATTTAGTGAGCATTATGCGCTGTGAATTTGGAACTAGCTGTTCGCTCTACAAATGTTTTATAAATACACTGCGTAGAATCTGTGCAGAAGAAATACATTTTACCAAGTAAACATTACGTCATCATATAATTTGAACCATGACTCTTATCAACCTGATCAGCTATTGTTTCAGTTAATCTTCTTCAGTAGGATGAGCCATTTAATGCATTGGTATCAGACACATAGATTTTCTGCATTATTATGAACATTATCTCAGTTATAAAAAATGGTTGGTTTCACTGTGTGTAAGTGACAGATGGCACATATATCATGAAGGTAGGTAAATATAGACAGGAAAATGTTCTCCAAATGCTCACAAGTGTGTGCTGTATAGACAAACTGTACATGATATGACTTGTAACACCATGGCCTTTATTTAACAAGGCAAAGAGTAATGTGCAGAAGCAGTAACTCATACGAATCAGAAAGCTGATTTCTGATTGGGTGCCATGGGTTACTCCATATCATTGCTCTTTGTGCTTATTAAATTATAGTCAACACACATCTTATAACAACGGATATACTAAGAACTGCAACCTATTATTGTTTTATAATGAGGGGCTGAAGAAATCAATTAATACAACCATTGAAAACTTTCATCCTCATTGTTTGCAATGGTGAGCAACAAAAATGTAGTCCATAAAAAGTCCCTAAATGTTTTGTACCTGCTTCCACCTCTCCACTATATCAGGGTGACTGAGAGCATAGCTTACACATAGTATATTAAATGAGGCTCCAGTTGCATCATTTCTAGTTCAGAGCTATGACATTCAAAGGCCAAATGACCATACTCAGGAACTTAGATTCCAATATTTGCAGGCATTGGGACAACATAAAATAAATCTGTTTTCACAGACTGTGTTGTACTTTCCCCCCAGCTTATTATGGGTTGATAACCATAAATTGTTCCTATACACACAGTCATTGGGGTAGATCTTTACTACCAGTACACTTTTTTACTTGCATACACTAATTGGTTAACTCTTCTGACTTGGAGTTCTGCAATACCAAAAGTTATATTCTTTCACAGGTCCCCTATCCAAAGGTCACAAGATTAAAATATAGCACAAAGGTACAAATAGCCTTCTGTATACTTTTATACAAAACTCCAAACATGCAAATAATTCTATTGTCACCTCTGCCAGCTTAATGTGAAATGACGGTGCTGGTAATATTTGCACATTGCTGGTCAACACTTCTTTGAAAGCTACATTGTGCATAGCAGTATTATGTACGATTAATGGGTACTAAAGAACACCTAGGAAGTGTTAAAGAAACGAATACCTACACAGCCAAGTCCATGGTGTAGGGATCCGATCTACAGTAAAAAGACACACATAAATTATTAGCAATAAAAACATGATAAACACAAGCAATGCAGTGACAACACAACCAAAGCTGTAAATAAAACATTAAAAAAACATCATGAAGGATTGGACAAAACACTAACAGTACAACTTTAAACTCAACACCACGTATGTGAGGAGAGAACATATTTGATTATATCACTGTACATACTTTGTTTAGGTATTAAAATGGTGTACACAATAAAGTACAGTGGTACCTCGGTTCACGGACGCTTCTGTACGCAAACAATTCGCTTTGCAAACATGAAGTTCGGCAAAATTTTGCTTCCGTTCACCGGGTGACGAACACAACAGCAGCCATCATCCCTGCTCTGACACATGGTTGTGGCTTCCTCTAGTCGAGATTGCGGTCTGATCAGTTTGATTCGGTTTGCGACCAATTCGGTTTGCGTCCAGAATTGTGGAACTAATTAAGTTCGTGAACCGAAGTACCACTGTATACTCTAAACAATAGCTCTGTACAAGGAAATCAATCCATGCTAATGGCATCTTCTATCAGCTGCTGTAAGACCAAGCCAGCAGCAACCATTTGCCAATAGGATATAATCTATTGGGCTACAGTGTTACTTACTGGTTTGACTTTATGGGTGGATGACATAAAAGATGGAGTTTGTAAAATGTTAGCATGGAGCCAATGAGGGCTACCTCATTGATTGTAAGATGTTTTTAGGGATATAATTTATTCACAGTGAGCTATACAATCACCAGTGTTAAGTGCAAGGTTTTGTAACCTACTTGATGTGTGTCAGAATTAAAGACCAGATAAGTAGAAGCCAAGCAACAACAAAAAAGCTTGACCTGAATACATACCATGGGCCACCAAATTGAAGGCATTCAATTTTACTTCAAAGGAATGTGCAGACTAGTCTAGATTAATAGATGAAGGGAATGAAGAACATTTCTCTAGGTGAGGCTAATCTCAAACGTTATCAGACCTGACTTAAAGTGGACCTGTCATTTTTACGCAACAGAACCTATGTTAAGGCTATCCAGTCATTGGGATGTAATGACCAACACTGTGTTAGTTGTTCTTCTCTGAATACTCTGCCTATACTATTCTATCCACTCTGACAGGTGCATTTTAAATGATGATTTGTTAAAATGTAAACAATGCAAAAAAAATAAAAAAAGCACTGCACCTAGAACTTAGTACCTATGTGCTAGTTGATAGGTGCAGTCATTTTTTGCACGGTTTTGTTGTTAGAAAGGGCAGACTGTACCCCTCTCACCGCTACCTTGACTTTTCCTTTATTTTTATGCTATTGCTTATGCTATTTTTATGCTATTGTTGGCAAAGTAGTATGTTGTACCATGTCATGCCCACCCTAGGCAATGATGAGGTTCATATATGAAAAAAGGAAACATTGGCTGAGGCCTTGGGTGGTTACATTTTAGCAGGTGGGGCAGCATACTCTCTCTTTTTTTCTTTCTTATCTAACTCTTTACGGAAAAGAATATTAGAAAACAACCTTTCATAACATGCACAATACACACATTTTTATGTAAATTGTATGGATGTGTTCTGCTCTAGACACAATAATGGCTCCTAGGGAGTGGTGCTGGATGAAGAAAGAAAACCAATGCCCATGTTACTTGAACAACCTTTCACCTGAACTCCAAATGCTTTGCCCAAGAGAATTCATTTAGATAAATGCCTATTTGTGGCCAGTAGTGACATAGTATAAAAACACTCTATATAAAATTTCTCACTTCCAGTGTATGGGAGTGACCACAAACTAAGCCAATCTTATTAGTAGTAATTTACAAGCTAGTGTGCATGAGGGGTTGGATACAATTTGGATACAATTAAGTACCAAAGACGTCTGAAAAAATAGCAATTTTTGTGCAAAACAGAGGCATAAAAATTAAGGGTAGTTATTTAGAAATGTTAATTTTTAAGGGGTCAGAAGAATGCCCTATCAGTTACCACCATTGGAAGCACAATAGCTTAGCACATCCTATGTGTTTTGATCATGCATTTAGTTTAGCAGTTAGTATAACCTATGGATGTAATGTCAACCAGGAAAATCGCAGTTCAAACTAAAGCACAGTTATTAAATCATTACCAGCAATGTACCACATGCACACAATGATTTATAAAATACTGTATGTGTTGTCCTAAGTATCAGGTGCCTTGCTTTCTTTAATTTCCTAACCTGTGTTGAAAAGGTAAAGGAGTTTTCAAATTCCCTGTGCATGTATCACATTAAAATAACTGAAATAAAATAATTATGCTATTATATCTTCACTGCAGCTGATCCTAATTCTACAGCATTTGCTTTTTTCTGCATATCGGAGGGGAACTTAGCCAGATCAGTGTTTTTTTCCCAGGCTTTTGATTAATGGGAATGCCTTTCTATATATACACTATATTGCCAAAAGTATTGGGACGCCTGCCTTTACACGCACATAAACTTTAATAGCATCCCAATATTAAACTGTAGGGTTAAATTTTGAGTCGGCCCACCCTTTACCGCTATAACAGCGTCAACTCTTATGGGAAGAATGTCCACAAGGCTTAGGAGTGTGTCTATGGGAATTTTGACCATTCTTCCAGAAGCGCATTTTTGAGGTCAGGTACTGATGTTGGACGAGAAGGCCGGGCTCGCAGTCTCTGCTCTGATTCATCCCAAAGGTGTTCTATCGGGTTGAAGTCAGGACTCTGTGCAGGCCAGTCAAGTTCCTCCACCCCAAGCTCGCCATTCCAGTCATGTTGGAACAGGAAGGGGCCATCCCCAAACTGTTCCCACAATGTTGGGAGCATGAAATTGTCCAAAATGTCTTGGTATGCTGATGCCTTAAGAGTTCCCTTCACTGGAACTAAGGAGCCAAGGCCAACCCCTGAAAAACAACCCCCCTCCACCAAACTTTACACTTGGCACAATGCAGACAGGCAAGTACCGTTCTCCTGGCAACCGCCAAACCCAGACATGTCCATCGGATTGCCAGGCAGAGAAGCGTGATTCATCCAGTGGCAGCGTGCTTTACACCACTGCATCCGACGCTTGCACTTGGTGATGTAAGACTTGGATGCAGCTGCTCGCCCATGGAAGCCCATTCCATGAAGCTCTCTATGCACTGTTGTTGTGTCAATCTGAAGGCCACACGAAGTTTGGAGGTCTGTAGCTATTGACTCTACAGACAGTTGGCGACTTCTGCGCACAGTGCGCTTCATCATGCGCTGACCCTGCTCTGTCATTTTACATGGCCTACCACTTCGTGCCTGAGATGCTGTTGTTTCCAGTTGCTTCCACTTTGTTATAATACCACTAACAGTTGGTCGTGGAATATTTAGTAGCAAGGAAATTTCACGGATGGACTTATTGCACCGGTGGAAACCTATCACGGTACCACGCCTGAATTCACTGAGCTCCTGAGAGCGACCCATTCTTTCACAAATGTTTGTAGGAGCGTCTGCTTGATTTTATACACCTGTGGCCATGGGGGAGATTGGAACACCTGAATCCAATTATTTGGAGGGGTGTCCCAATAATTTTGGCAATATAGTGTATATGTATATTTATATATATAGATAGATATACACACATTACTCCTTAATTGAGTATACATGTTTTACAAAACCAACCCTTGTACTTTTTAGTAAGGAAACATTCTTTACTTGCTACTTTGCTACTTACTTGCTAGATCTCAATACAGATTGAATGAATTTACTAAGCTAAAGAGATAAAGTAAACAAGTAAAGTTTAAAGAGATAAAGTAAACATGGGATTTAGATCCATAAACACCTTCCTGATGATCATGATATGTCTCACTCAACAGTGTGAGTGTTATTGTTAAAGTGAGTGATTATGATTTCTTTAGATAGGCACATGCTAATAGATGGAGGTGGAGGAAGCAGATAACAATACAGATGGGTCCCTTGTGTGTAATTAATCTTCCATCACCTCCTAGTCTCTTTTGCTTACAAATATATACATTAAATTCTGGTATTTTGTTACTGTGGAAACAGCACAGTAAAGTCTTCTTTACAAAAAAGAACATGATAGCTTCTCTACACAGCTATTACTTCAAAGCTCTGGCATACATTCGGCCTGTGAAAATAGCAAACAATTTGTGCTAATAGAATATCTAGAAATTGCAATTTATAGTTCAAACATAACTTCAAACCAGAGTATTTTCTAAACTGGGCTTTGCGAAAAAAAATTATTTCAGCGCTATATCAGTGATTCAGAGAAACATTGGAAACTAAATCTCTTTGCTATGTGATATTATTGCTGAATGCAGCCATTAGGCATTGTAAGCAATATTTGTATAATTAACAGCAAACATATTGACTTAATATCTTGCTGACTAAAACGGATCAGCATGTCTTGGTTTCAAATGTATTACAGTGTACAGTGCAATTATTAGCACTGTATTCCTATGTAGAGTGCTTTATTCTCTAATTGTGCTGACTGGAGCAATGTTTAGGAAAATTACATTGATAAAATAGAGCATTCTAAAACACGTAGGATCCTATTAAATAAGGTAATGCAAAGAACAATGACTGTGGCAAGAGTAAATAGTAAGATATTCACTAGTTTATAGCAAAACAATTAAAGATTATGGCTGACTGGTTATATGGGTAAAGGCCGTGACACACTGCAGGCGAAGCAGCGCGGAGCGGTGGCGCGCTGCCTTTGCGAGCAGTGTGTCATGTAATTTTCTGTTGGGCACCTCAGCTTGCGAGAGCTCGCGGAGCTGAGCGTGCCGAGATGAACAATTTCAACTTCAGCCAATCGTCTTGCGCGTATAAACCAGCGCGTCGCGATGCGACAGCTGGCAGGTTCTTACGGACGAGCCGATTGGCTGAAGGTGCTGTCAATCATCTGACTGCACTCATCTCACACACTGCACGCAAAGCTCCGTGCCGGATAGCTTTGCTTCGCTCTGCACGGCTTCGTGTGCAGTGTGTCACGGCCTTAATGCACATTGCTCTGTTGTACAGATTACTGATTTACAGTAAGTACCCTTTTTAAAAATAACTGAATGTATATCTAAATCCTAAACAAATGGCATTGAATTTGCTATAGTACTAAAGCTTATACAACTGCCGTTTGTTTTTTCCATAAAATGCTGTTTTCACTTTTTTTTTACATTTCAATTCTGATTTCTTCCAATCTCTTTCGGACACTTCCTGTCTACATGCACTGGCTCCAGTGTCAGCTGCACATCATTGCTTTGAAACCGGCTTTACTGATAGAGACAACAGTGGACCATGCCTGAGCAATGTGTGCTGGCACAACTGCTTCCAGTCTCTTCCAGTGGGCGCAAGTGACAACCTCAGGAGCACAATTAAGCGACAACTGTCACCACATAACAGGAAGTGACTGCACTGGGTCCTTCATTGCCTTTTTTAAATGAAAGCTGCATTGCATAGTGATTGGTTTTAAATCTAGTTTAAGTAATTGTTGCAATCAGGGTGACAGTTTCTATTCGATATAATACAAAAGTGATAACTTAAAAGAGCAAAGTCAAGTTAAAAAAGAACTCGAGGGGGCGTGGCTTGGACATGGAGGAGTGAGGCCGCATTGAACCGGAGCTCTGCACGGCACCTTCTCCCGGGACGTCTAAGTAGACTGTAAACTGTTTCCTCCCCACATGTCAGAGCCCAAACGAGCCCGCAGCTCATCCCCGCCGACCACACACCGGGATCTCCTACATTACTTTGGGCAGCAGCCGACTCACCTGCAGGCCGCGCCGGAATCAGAACTTGATTAGAAAAGCAGCATATTATCTTCAACAATGAACTGGTAAAAATCAGTAATGATATCCACTTAACAAACATTCCTGATAATCTTGCAGCAAGGCAGCAAATAGCACCCAGGATCTTAAGCTTAGAAAGCTTTTTACAGAAAGAGTTGACGTTTTTCGAAATAATGGCGCCATGTGACCATCTGAGAAAGTTATAGCTCTTAGTGGACGTCTCCTTTAATGTTAATCTCTTACCGGCTTTTTGCCTACAATAAGTTTTTCAACCTTCTGAACTTGAGAGACATGGTCTTCATTTGTCTTAAGTTCCCGTTTGCGGATTCGCTCGTAAATGCCTATCAGCGTCTCTCGTGGGATGTCCTCTCCATCGTCCACACCTGCAAAAAATGGCAGTGCTCAGCAATTAATGACAAACACTCCAGCTTGATGCTGATGGTGACTCTGCAAGGTCATAGCCAAGGACTATGTACACATCAACAGATTTCGGGGACAAGCAGCCAGGTAATGCATTGACAATTAGGCTCGCCACTACAACAGCCTTACTAAAGAAAGGTGTAAAAATTCCTCTCACACAGCTCTTCACTTAATTCTTATGCATAAATTACCAACCTCTTCTGCCTTAATTACCCAGAGGTACATACATTTCACATTAAGCCTTGGCATTTTTTTTCCTTTTCATCACAAGGGTGATACATCTGTATGCATTTAACTGCATTAGTGTCTACGTGTTTACTTTACTGAAGATCTAAAAATATATTTATGCATGTTGATCGCCGACTCTGTCCAGAGAATTAGCTGGCTAATTTTTTATAAGCTGTCAATCTTTTGAATTTACACATTACATCAGAAAACATTCCATTGATTCCTTTTATAAGTACATGAATTAAATCATAAAAAAATAGCAGGCAACAGGTACAACCACAAGATGGACTCCTTAAAGGGAAACTAAAGTGAATTTTGAAAAAGCTGCTGACAGGTGAACTTTTTGTGACAGAAGAGACTCTATGGGGTTGATTTTCTTAAAGCATATAGACTGTTCACTGGGCTTTTGTATTTTTGCTTGCACATGATTGGATGGCAAAGCTCTGCTTCCCCTCATTTACTAATCAAATGGGAAAATCACCTACAAAGTGAGCAGCCTTTTTGTCTTAGTAAATCAACCCCAGAGAGTTTTCTTTAGAGGTGCACCGAAAAAGAGATTGAGTCCTCTTTTTCTGCAGCCCCTGTTATGAATGAGCAGGACCACTCAGTATAGAGGATTCCTGTTCACTGATACAATGAGGACAGAGTATGTTTACTATAACCACAATCATGAATGAAAAGGAGGTGATGTAGATCACTTCACATTCATTCATAATTGAGGCTATAGTAACCATACTATGTCCTCAATTATGTACAAACACTCAGCGATCACTGAGTGTTTGCACTCGCTCTCCATCTTGACAGCTGTCACAGGAGGCTGAGCGAGCGGTGCAGGGAGGAGAGCTCAGGCTCCTGTGACAGCGCTGGCTGTCTCGCCCACACACTGCTCTGCCGGACTGTGACAGGAGGCTGAGCAGTGCGGGCGGAGGAGAGACGCTGGCCGCTCACACCGCTCTCCTCCCTGGGTCCGCAAAATGTTTGTTGGTATTAGTTCCACTTAAGCAATGCAGAAAACATTGCAAATTTGCATAAATGGTTAGTTTGCCTTTACCAACAAACATTCCCATGCATTTCAGGGTTTCCAGTTCATCAGGAAACACTGAACAGATTTTACATAGAAACTTATTTTGAAAGGCAGACCTATGGACCGTGTGTGGCCTCTCCCAAGCCTGTCAGAAAAACTCCTAGGTAGGTGAATCCTCCCACCCCCATCCTCCTGCTTAGATGGCAGGATGCGCCAGACATTGGAGTATGCCCCCAGCACCTCAGGCTCGTTCAAAACACATGCATGCACAGTGGTTGTAGGTTGGGAGCCATGCACTGTCTCTGGGTATGCCATTCAATGGAAGCTTCTATTGAAAATCTGTGCAGTGTTTTTTAATGTACAGGAGAAGCAGGAATCCATGGGAATTTTTTTGGTAACGCTTTAAATCAGGGTTGGGTTTGGTGGTCTGTACAGTTAAAATGTAGATGTGCATATAAAGCAGACTGCATACTGACTAATAGCACAGTCTAACATTATTTGTCTAATATAATCACATTACAACGTATGTGATTATCACGTAAGTTAAAAAAGGTAGCAAAAGTCTGAAAATAATTACCATGGCTGGGGCCAGGACAGTCATCTGGTTCTCCAGCTAAAGTAAGTCATTTGTGGTTTCTGATACTGTTTAAGGGATTTTATATGATCATACACTTTTTTTTGACAGAATGTTCTTTTTTAATTGTTCAGGTTTACAAGAACCAGATTATTTATCAGAGAGCATAGGAAACGCAAGAGGAATACTGACTCCAAATGTCAAGCATTACAATAGTCAGTTGGCATATGGATATTTATGTGCTTAGATATCCTTTTTTTATACATATTTTGAATGGGGTCATAGATCTTTTATATAGGTAAGTGAGTAGCTGCTGCAGGGTTGTAATTCAGTTATGATTCATACCTGTGCATCTCTCTTACTTGGTGTCAGGAATTAATAATTTAAAGTACTACTAGAGGATCCTGTATGACAACTGCCAAATTCACTTATTATGTGTGCACACGCTTCATAATGTAAACTAAAAATTCAATTTGCCTCTCTAGAATTAACCAAATCTTTCTTAATTTGAGTATTACACGCTCCACTCCCAGACACTTCAGCTCATAGAGGAAGGCTACCAGTAAGTAAGTCCACAAATTAGTGGTCAGATCTCGGTGTGTCCCGGTGCTGAATGACAAACTATAGACTTGTAAATCAGCAGTGACAATGTTGATCGCCACACACCCTGCAACATTTGCTCATCCCACTGTAGTGCCAGCAGGCATTGCCAACATAAGGGAAGTGGTATGAATTTATTAGCAGTGCAGTGTCGTTTCTCCACCATCACAGAAAGCTGCACTGGTTGGACTTCACTGGCAGGATTAATAGGCATTTGTGGGACTGTGCAGGGGGATTAAGAGAAAACTGTAAGTGCAGATGCAGTTATAACTGATTTTTTTCCTTTTCACGGCAGGCCATAGTTCACCTTTAAAATGTGTTATATTATCTATCTATCTATCTATCTATCTATCTATCTATCTATCTATCTATCTATGTATCGATCTATCGATCTTATACAATGATTACCTCTTAAGTTCTTCACAAAATCCTCTAGTTTCATCTTGCGCTCAGGCTTGACATTTGGGCTGTACATGTCTGTGTTCAGAAGGATGATTGCAAATGCCAAGATGAAGATGGTGTCTGGGTTTCGGAACTGCCGGACAACGCCTGGGTTACAAATGCAGTATCGCTGGCTGGAAAGACAGGAAGACAAGATTATAGTTATGCTATCAATCACCCCTAAGGTGACCAAAATCTGTGAACTCTGGTATCAGATACAAACAACCTGATCTTTGTGCAGTTAGCCTCATGGACTTGAACTTTTAGAATTGCTGTAAATTTGTGCTATTCACTGATATACAATTTTAAGCAACATTTGAAACCAGCCAGTAAACTGCTATTTTTTTAATTCAGCAAACACTGGTACAATGTTAAAGACAGAATGGGGATCACACATGGTAACTCAGAGCATACTTCCTGAAGCCTGTTCTTGTAGCAGGTGTCTGTAAGAAGCCCCATAGTATTGAGAACTAGCACTGAGAACTTGTTGCATTTAGGTTTCTAAAGACAACAAGAACTTTGGAGGGGGTTTGTTTGGGAATTGCACGCCTGCATCAGAAGCAGGGGTTCTCAGATCACCGGGACACCAGCCAAAGACACTTGGATAGCAGAAGTACAATGAGGATGCATTGCACAGCCACAAACCACAGCAGTAACATCTTGCCAAGGATGCCCTGGAGAGGTATAGCAACCGGTCATCTGATCACAATTAATGTGTATGACCCCTGTTAATATTAAAGCTAAATTCCAGCCAGACACAAAGGAAACAAACAAATCCAGCTCTGTATTCATGACTACATCCCTAAAAGTGTGTTTTAAACTGCGAGTACTGTAAATACCTGAATTTGACCTGGTATTATCCTCTTGTACCTACCTGTACAGCAGAGCTCAGAATGGGGGAGGAAGAAGCAGCACAAAGAGCTAACCAGTTGTGCTGCAGTGAAAGCTGTATTCAGATGAGAGAGAGAGAGAGAGAGAGAGAGAGAGAGCAGAGTGACAGATAGAGCATCATTCTGCTGTTCCTCTTTTCACTGTCCCCTCACATGGCAGGCATAGGGAGGGCAACTATTATGTTTTTTACAACTACAGCAGAGAAACAGGGCTCTGTTGTGTGGTAGAGCTGTATAAGTCTTAGGATTGGATGGGCAGAAATACAAATCTTTTGTCAGGTAAAACTGCTTCCTTATACTGTATGTATTTCATCCAGTTATTTAGGGTTGAATCAATTTTTATTAGAAGTTTCATAAGATTCATACAATCCGGTATAAAAGCGACATATAAAGATTAAGGCAATGCAATACACAGGGGAGTACCTTTCTCTGCAACGGGCCCGGCTTAACAGAGTTATAACAGCAAAATAGTAGCTCACATGAAATCAAAGCAAAATGTGTGTGTCTAAGGTCCAGGTGAGGCGCCACTAGAGACCTAATACTGAGCAAGATTCAATATTGTTGGATCAGATACATAAAAATGCTATTGAACTAATCGGCTTCTGGTAAGGAGGGGAGCAAGGAGAGCCGGGTGCGCCGTTTCAGTACTAGAAATCTCCTGTGAACAAATTGTATGAATCACTAGGCATCTTACAAGTAACTACAAGAGGACAGATTTAGGTAGAAGATCAGGAAAAGAATGAGTAGAGTAAGAGGGGGAGGTCAAGGAAGGGGGGAAGCAGGCACTGCAGATGTAAACAAGACAATGGTATGGCCGTGGATCATTCTCTTTTTCGGTGACAACATTTTCCTACTACCTTTCAAAGCAGCTTTATCACCCTGTGTGCACTCTACAAGTAGATGTGGCAACCACAGTGTGACGGCATGGCCGCTCTGCTGCACAACTTTTGCAGTATGCCTGTCGCCCCCATTATGGCCAGAGTTCAGATATCAATATTTGTCTCCCTTCCAATGTTCTTCTCCACACTGAAGCATATATATCAGCTGCCATGAAATGTAATAATTGTGTCTGACCTGCACAACTGCACAACTTCTAAGAGCTGGGCAAGGAACAGCCATACACATCTCCCAGCCCAGCTCTTAGCAACCAGGAACACTCTGGCTGGTGTTCCACCAAGCTCCCGGAAACCAGTGACATCACCGGTTACCAGGAGCTAAGCAGGACCCTCTGGCCAGTATCCCGCCCAGCTCCAGTGATGTCCCTTGGCGAGACGCCTCTCCCAGAAAAGATAGGAATGTTTCATACACAGCAGAGGTGTCAAACTCAAACTTGACCTCAAAAGGCCGGTTGTATCTGTAAGACTATATACATGTATCTACTCTTTATGATATTACATTATTGCCTCTGCATTCCAATATTACTGGTTTTACTAATAACTTAATAACTAGCACTGGAAGAAGTAGTCTAGGAAAAATAATGGCAATTAGTGTAATAGTGCAGACTCTAAGGTGGATGTGCAGGTTCTATGGTGGGCTGTGCAGACTCTCAGGTGGGCTATGTGTGGTCGTTTATGGTGGGCTGTGCAGACTCTCAGGTGGCTGTGCGGGGTCTATGCTGGGTCTTAGGAGAGCTTTGCAGTCTCACCAGGGGTCCTGGTCAGTCTCGGCGGGTGTGGGTGGTGTGGATCCACAGGAAAGAGGATATTTGCTGTAAACAGGCACCGTAATTCACAGGAAGGCTGCCAGGAGCTTTCTGGGGACCTCGGCAGCCTTCCTGTGAAGCCTGGCACCTGTTTACAGTGCTGGCTTTGGTTAAAAATGTAAAGCACCACTATCAGCGCTTAATATCGGAGACAAGGTGTGGTGGGAGATGAGGGGGGTACCGCAGCTGCACGAGAGGTCCACATGAAATAGCCTGGTGGGCCGGATTCGGCCCATGGGCCTTGCGTTTGACACATGTAAAATATATGCTTTAGTGTGGAGAAGAACATTGGAAGGGAAACAAATATTGAAAACACTGAGTGGAAAATAAATTATTTGTGGTAAAGTAAGCATGAAATATAAAACTAAGGACAACAGTAACAACATATTTGCAATCTTTACATGAGGTTTGGGAAGGTTTTCCATTTCCAGCTGTTTCTTACAGGTTCACCCTTTTATATGTTGATTATATACTGTATATTAGCTGCCATGAAATGTAATCATTGTGTCTGACCTTCATATAGACACTTGATTTGCAGGGAGAGCTCATCCCTCCCCTGTGTTTTCACACATGCTGTTTAAATTCCAAGTGACCGAGCTCTGACCATCTGATTCTGCTTAAGTCAAACTGCAACAGCTTAGTGAGGATTAAACCTTTAATTAACTGTATGGAGCTCAAAATATTACGCATTCCTGATATGGCTTTCTCTTGCTATGCTTGCATATTAACGAAAAGCTGGATTCTAGGCAAAAAGCTAAATATGTATATATAGATAGATAGATAGATAGATAGATATACACTGTATATAAACACCAATTGGCCATAACATTTTCACCACTCGCCTAATAATTGAATAGGTTCCCCTTTTTCTGCCAAAACAGCCCTGACCTTGCAGGGAATGGACTCCACTAGACCTCTAAAGGTATGCTAAGATATCTTGCACCAAGCCATTATTAGCAGAGGTTGCGAGGTGGGGCCTCCATGGAATGGACCGGTTTTTCCAGCACATCCAACAGATGAATTTAAAGGCCAAGTCAACACCCCAAACTCATTGTTGTGTTTCTCAGACCTTTTTTTGAACCATTTTTGAGTGGCAGCGTGCATTGTCCTGCTGAAAGAGTCCACTGCCATTAGGGAATACTATTTGCATTAAGGGGTGTACTTGGTCAGCAACAATGTTTAGGTAGGTGGTACAAGTCAAAGTAACATCCACATAAATGGCAGGACCCAAGGTTTCCCAGCAGAACTTTGCCCAAAGCATTACACTGCATCCTGGTGCCATATCTTCCCCCAGGTAAGTGACACACACGCACCCAGCCATTCACATGATGTAAAAGAAAACATGATTCATCAGACTGGGCCACCTTTTTCTATTGCTCCATGATCCAGTTCTGATGCTCACATGCCCTCTGTAGTCACTTTGGTGTTGGACTCGGGTCAGCATAGGCACCCTGATCAGTCTGCGGCTACACAGCCCCATACACAACAAACTGAGATGCACTGTGTGTTAAGACATCTTTCTATTGGAACCAACATGGACATTTGAGTTATTTGAGCTACAGTAGCTCTTCTATTGAAATCAGACTACATGGGCCAGCTCGCTCCGCATAAGCATCAATGAGCCTTGGCTCATTTTCCTTCCTTGTTACTCCGAGGAGCCGAGCAGCATAGGAATTTCCTATGCTCCTCTGCCCCATCTAGTTACAGGAATGCGGTGTGAATGACAATTGCACAGTGTATGGTTGGGTGGAACATTTATAAATTAGCCTCCAAGTGTCACCTGTAGTTGTCATGCAGACAAAATCTTACATTCTCTGTAACTGTGTAGATATGGTTGAAGCGCTGGACCTTAAAGGTATATGTGACCTGATAGGTTCTTTGGTTTTAGAAGGCTGCTCTCTACTGACAAGGGTATCCACTGGGTCCCCAAAAATATCCAGAACAAAGGGCACCACAGTCGTATGATTAATCCACTATAACTTCAATGTTCTAGACACAAAAACCACAGAAAAAAGCCAATGCGTTTCAGGGGCTCACAACTACCCCCTCCATCAGGGCTGGGAAACAAATACAGTGTAATACCAAGCTCTTGTCTGATAGCAAACTGAACATTTTAGACTTATTTTGACAGAGAAAAAAATATGACTGTAGTACTCTTTTTTCCCTTGTCTTATTTCTGGAGTCTCTGTAACTGGGGATAAGTGAGGAGGGAGAGCCCTTGGTCAGCGATTATGTTTTTATTTAGCAGATAAATTCTTGGATATGAACAATTTAATTAAATTTTTCATTTTAAGGATGTTTATATTTTTAAGAAAATACATAGATAATCTCAACACATACATAACATGTAAAATACAATTTATAAGACTAACATTTCAGCGTGTAATGACATTCATAAAATTAAGACATTTTGAATACCCCACCTGAATGCTTCAATAAGTCGTTCTACTTTCTGAGCCTCTCCTTGAACCCGGATATGAGCTTGGAACTTCCTGAGCGCCTCATCTAATTCCATTGCAGAGAAATCCATTTCATCAACCACGCAGCTGGAAAACACAATCACATTTGCTTCAAAATCTCCATTGGGAAATGAGCACCATTAGCAAATGAGGTACTTGTAACAAGTAATGTTAAAACATTATTAGTATGTAATTTGTTGTAATTAATTGGTAGTAAACAGTAATTCTATAAAAGGAATATTATGCAAATCATTCAGCATCCTGAATAAATGACAAATGGACTGCAGAATAAAAAGTGATGCAACAGATCCAACTTTTGAAAACCTGTATGAAAGCCTAACTCCAGCTAGTTTTTCTTTTTTGAGATTTGCTCAGTTAAAAATTATTAAAATGTATCTTATGTGTTTATTCTGCCTGTGACCCCATTTGGGAGATTTTCCATAACATTCTGTCCCTGTGATGGCAGGGCATGGAATAGGTGAGTGGCTGTTTTCTGGAGAGCAATAAACAGACAGCAACAATCACATTGTCTACCGATTCTTCAATCTACTAAAAATGTGGTTTTTTTTCTTTTCTTCTCCTGTTAGAGAGGAATGCCATTATTTTCTTTCTAATAGGGACAATAATGATCTAATAAAGGCTTAAAACCATTGCTGTTCTATCCAAAACAAAATATAAAAAATTGGCAGAGTTGAACTATGCATGCATAGATGTGCACACTCGTGCCTCTGCATTCAGCAAGTACCGCTAAGTCCAACCAAAGGCTAAGGCCTGGTTCACACCTGGGCGTTTTACAGCGCGTTCCTACGCGCTGTAAAACGCTCAACATGTGAAATCCAATAATTGCCTATGGGCATGGTTCCCACCTGGGCGTTTTACAGCGCGTAGGAACGCGCTATAAAACGCCCTACGCCCAAAGAAGTACAGGAGCTTCTTTGGGGCGTATTTGCAACGCGTATCCATTAGGATACAGCCGGATAGCCCTCGGAAATGCTTGTGAACCCAGCCTAAGGCAGCAAAGCCCTTTGAAGGAGAAAGTTCTGTCTGGACAACTGTTTCCCCCACATACAGTCTTCAGAGGGTGGCTGCCAATTTCTTATGACTTGTGAACCTGAACCAGTGAAAGTGAACTCCCAACTTATTCAGATGAGAAACAGGCACACCTTTGAACACAATGAAGGGAATTTATCAAAACTGGGGCAGATAAAATATGGAGCAGCTGTGCATAGCAACCAATCAGCTTCTCTGTCTCATTTTCAAATCTTACCTGAGCAAAGTGAAGAGAGAAGCTGATTGGTTGCCGTGCACAGCTGCTCCAGATTCTGTCTGTTCCAGTTTTGATAAATTCCCCCCAATGTATTTAGGCAATGGAATATACCCCTGCCACACCCCTAGTTATGTGGACAATTTATATGCATGATTAAAGTTTTAGTTCAGAGTAGTACTTTTGGTAGTTAAATTGCTCTTTTTCATAGATATGTGTGCATCAGACCAAAAAGAGGGGAAAACTGAGGAGGAAAAGAGACAAAGGGATTTGGTTCCAAAAGAGGGGCAGTCTCTCCAAATGAAGGAGGTATGCTATACCCAGACTATGCAAATAAAGCCCTCATTCACCTCTGTAGCTACAGGCATTGACACAACATTTATCTTCAAGTTTATATCAGACACATTGAAATTACAGCTCCTTCTAGACTTCTAGCTTGCCAGCCTTCTAATGTAAAAATACAGCAGGTATTGTTAAGCTGCTAGAAACTGATTGAAACTGGGCTTTACAGTTTCTCTTGTGATCTTTGAGAATGAAATAGTTTACAGTACATGCATCAAGAATAGACAGTAATAACTTGCTTTTAATCTCTTTTACTGCTTGCTAAAGATACAATGTTACCTTGCCCATGCAGGGCAAAGTGACAACGTCTATGCAAAGGTCCCCCCAGAAGCAATTATACTCAGCTTACCAGTGCTCACCTCCACTCATTCCTCCATTAAAGGGATGACCTGTCACTTCTACGTATGGGCAGTTCTTGGGTGACAGTTCTTGGGTGTAGCAGCCAATTCAATTACCAGCAGTGTATTAGCTGAATAGAATTAGCATACGTGTCTTTGAAATAGTTTTCTTTGGGTGATCTGGTTTCCTTTACTAACACATACCAGTAGGTTAATTGGCTTTAACCAGTGTGACTCCACTTTGTGTGTGTGCTATGACCTCAGAAGTAACATTCGACTGTATGCTTCTCTGGGGCAGGGACAGACTTGAATGCTCTTTCAAAAGCACTGCACTGTATGCTTTTGCTATATATAAACACAGGGAAGAAAATGATGCCAGCGAGGATGGAGGAAATAGATTTTAAATGTAATATATCTTCTCAATAGCTATATTTGTCACAACACTCTGCATTGTTTCAGCACCTGACAAAGAAGCTATTAACATGTCTCACAAATTGGGAAAAATGGCAGGTATTCAGCAGAAAGATGTATGGTAGAATTACGGGGCACAGCGGGGTGTAATGACGCAGTTGGGAAAGAGCTTAAGAAGGGATTGGATTATTGGTGATGCTGTAAATGAGTTATGCTCCCAAATACGACAAGGTAATTAGAGTGTTGTGTGGTCATCCCAGATAGAGTCGGCCGCAGGCTGGCAACCCACTAGAAACTATTTAACACAACAAATCCCTGATAAATGCCAGGACTGGTGGAATTCCGCATATATAAGATATGAGAAAACTAGCTAAGAGATACAGAACCAGGCATAGCACTTTTTCACGCTTCACATTATCTGTAACAAAAAAGTTTTGTGCTGGTTTGCCAACTTATTCTTTATAGTCAGTCCACTCAAAACTGAGGGATGCTGCCAGGTGGCATCTCTATTGCCTTCTCTCTGAGGGGCTTCAGAAGTAAGATCTCCCATGGAAGAGCTGCTGGCTCTCCTTCCTCCTGACTTATGTTGATTTTAATGAGATAATAAAAGTGAGTTATCCATGTGTGTTAGTGATTAAGGTGACACTAAACCAGGAGTTAAATCTTAAAAATGTATTCCATTTGTGTATCACTTGACTGTAGATCCTCAGACCATCTCTGAATTCAAGCTGACACTGTCCTTCCTTCTTGGCGGTGGCTACTTTTGTTCCCCATGGACCAAGCTCGCTCCCAGGATGGACTACAATCTCACGTTTATTTTATGGAGATTGTAGACTATCATGGGAGCAAGCTTCGAGCAGTGGCTACTTTTCTACACACATAGGGATCATGGGGAAGAAAAGTAGCCACCCTCCAGAAGGAAGGACAGTGTCAACATGAATTCAGAGATGATTTGAGGATCTACAGCTCCGTGATACTGAAATAAGATACATTTTTGTTAATAGTTAAGGTACTTTTTAAGATTAAACTCCTGAGTTTAGTGTCACTTTAAAGTGATAATATGGGTAACCCGGTATGACCCATAGGACTTCCTAGCACATCCAATTGCTGTCAACATTTTACAACTACAATATTTTAAGACGCATTTTGAGCTGGATAGTTAAATCAATGCACCATATTCTAAAAAAATATGACTGTATTACAACATAAATGATTAAAAGGCTCTACATTATGAAGAAATGAATGGAAGAAAATCAAATACTGTCAAATGTACAATAATAAAAAAAAGCATTCAATATAACCAAGCAGCAAGTTAAACAATTCAGTGATCTTTTATCTAGTAAACCCTGCAGGTGCGATAAAGTCATAAAGTTCACCCTATTGATCTTTGAGTTCTGTGTAATCTCCTACAGGAATAACACATCCAAAACTCTATACAGGATCAGTAGGAAAGAAGATGGAGTGTACTTCCTGAAGCCTGTGTTGTATAACTCCCTCTCTCTCTCTCTCTCTCTCTCTCAACCTCCTGCAGCAGCTATCATATTCAAACGTTCAAGAACGTTTTGAATCTGATTGGTTGCTCTAAGAAACTTCTTAGTACTGGGATTTTTACATCATTTCAGCATCGCCGGTAGGGTTCCAGAATCATCAGATTCACCTAAAGATGCCAGAATTTCTAACCTGATAAATTGTAAATCTGACTTAAATGAGACTTCTGTCAGGTTATCGAGCTGTATAGGACATATATGACACCGGATAAATGTCATCTGGTGAATGTTTCTGAGGATGCCAGGAGGATGGCATGGGTTTACAAAGCTGGTAGATATTTGTCCCCATTTTACAAATTTATCATCCCACATCCAGCTAATGCTTTGCCTAAAAATGTGGAAGACATTCCAAGGAGGAGATAAATCAATCCACAGACTTCCTGCTAATGCTACAAGAGAAACACTTTTTTTGATCATCCTATCTAATAAAATGAGATCCATGTTGATGGATCGGTTTATATTTCATCTCCCTTTAGGCTTTGAGCTAGGTTCACTTTTTCTATTCATATTGGAATTCTCTTATATCAGTGTGGTCCTGCCTATTTTATCCTTAAACTTATCATTGCTTGAATAACATATTAGCATCCTCTACTATAGGATAATATTTAAGAAAATTATTGTTAAACCACATTGTATGTTCTTATCCATACCAATAAAAACAGTGAAAGTAGAAAGTGTTCACATTTATTATCTGTGGCAGAAATTATAAATAAGATGATTTATGATTTATTTCATATTTTTGCTCCATGTCATTACCAGCCTTCTTTCTTTTGTTACCACTATAGTTGATCCTGATTTTGCATGACCTTGAGTTCAGATACAATTTCATGGATTTGGGTGGTTAAACTTAAATCCATATTTCAGTGTTATTTTTGGTGGTTGGGATTTTCAAGAGGTATGTGGGAGAAAGGGATGAAAGGCTGCTTTGAAGGCCCTTTTTGCCACCATGTATCTCCTTAGCTTGACCTTCAGTACCACCTGATCCTACCCTTCTATTTTGGTATCCTTGGTGGAATTTTAAAAGGAAGTGGCTGAGGCTGTTTTTTGGCCAAGCAAGACTGCCATGAACTTCCCAAACCATTCTGCACAGTTTTGCATCATTTGCTGCAAAGCAATACACACTTTGTTGGAGCCTTGCTCATATTTGTATTGACTTGGAACTTCAGGTTAAGAAACCATGAATTTTGGGATGATATTCTTCTACTATTTAGTTTGACCAAATCACAACTGATCAAACTTTTCAAAAGTTTGCTATTCTCTAGTTATCAGGGTCAGATGATTTTCTGCAATCACTGCCATCAGTAGATGAGCATGGCAAAATGATATGGATAAATACTTCCACAAAGCATTAAAGGATTTCTCAATATAGGCCCTTTTTAATGTATTGTTTAAAAGAAAATAAATGTGGCTTCCTTGCAATGTGGCAAATTAAAAACTTTCCATACACTGCTTTTGTACAGGTCTACTACTGAAATCTTATTTACTGCTTGGGTGATTGGTTTTACTTCTTTCACCAGACATTTGCACAGAGCCTGGAGGCTAATCATAGGCATGCCCTACAAAAGACGTTTAATGTTTTTATAAGTCCCTTTTCATGGCCAAAGGGTTGTAGACGGTACTCCTTTTGTTTAAATAATGAGTCTGCTCAGGTAGTGATACTAAAAGCAGATCCTTCCTTTTAGCAGTCAGTTTGAGATCAGGAAGAATGGGAACATTTCTTCAGAGCAGATAGTTTAATTTTTTATAATATTTGGTACAGCTGGAGGGGATAGTTTTTTCCTTAAAAAGCTGTAAAACTTTAATGCTGGGAAATGTTTGGACAATGCTCCTTCAATGTTGGGAAAGTATTTGACAATGCACATCCAATGTTGGGAAAGTATTAGACAATGCATTTAATGTCGGGAACTTATTGGACTATGTACCTTTGCAGCTAGCTCATTGCTGAGCAATGGTGTAGTGCATTTATTGGTGTCGTCAACACTGGCACTTCAGCAGAATGAAAGTAGAGCCCTGGAAAGACCTAGTGATTGTTTTATAATATAAACATTTTCACCACCCCCATATATTTTTATCTTATCATGTCAGAACTATGTAGAACAAGGTAACTGGAAGTAAACCTGAAAGTGCATTGCCAGAAAGAATAAAGTCTATGATACTCATAACTTTTAATAGCTGCAATAACGTCTACATGGCACTGCATTACTCATTTGATTTCCTTTAATTTACATTTTAGTTATTAACAAAGTGAAAAGAGTGAATAAAATATGTTAAACACTGATCTTACTTTACATCTAAATTAGCAGCACCCCCACAACACTGTATACATACAGTATACTCTCCATTCCCACAGTCTTCCTTCCAGCTGCACGACCTGTCTCCTGAAGCCGCTTCTCTTCAATGGTCCATCGGTCACAGGCCCTTTGACGTCATCACATACAATGCAGGACCAGCAGTCCTGCATTGTAAGTGAGGATGACATGGGCTCCCAAACAACCACTCCATTGGAGAGAACAGTAGCATGCTGGCTGCTGGAGGAGTGGAGGATACAGTAAGTGATACTGTTGTTTATGTTTCCCCTCAATCAAAATTAGAATTTACCCTTGCAGTGTAGGGGAAGCCCAACTGCAAAGGTAACTTTGGATTTTTATTGGAGTTTAGCTTTAGATAACTGTACTTATAATTTAGTTATCCTTTAAATAACCTTCCCCCCAGCATTCTCCTCAAATCCTACACGTACATGTCCTTGCATTTTGTAGCACCTCTTTGTGCAGCTTGCTGCAAGCTGAATAGCCTATACACAAAAAGTCTCTCAAAAATGCATGCAGAGTAAGATTACCATTCGTTCTTAGGAAAAGGCCATTCCCAATTTGTCCCAATAGTACAAAAGGAATAAAGTCTGCTCACTTAACAATGTGAACGTTAGTTAATAAAATAAGGCTATGATAATGTGTATATCCAATCATGTGCTAGGAAAAAAAGCCACTTTTTTAAAATTTCCCTTGCAATGAGTGGGTATTCAAACTAAACACAGTAAACATTGGTAAACACTCACTTTGCAAATTGAACAGCCTGTACTTCTTTAGTAAATCAACCATATAATATTAGCATTCTAAAGAAGACAGTGGCAATAGCTGTCACAGCATGTGCATGTCTATTCTCCTCCTCTACACCTTGCTTATTTTTCTCCCTTAGTAGAGACAGTAACAGAGGGGATAGGACATAAGAGTGTAGTATTGGCATTGGAGGAGGTCCTGTAAAGTTTAGGAGATATCATTATCTTTGTCTATGCTGAGTCTTGAAGCAGTACACCTAACTGAACCCACTGACAGACCTAAAAAAGAAAATATGTTTATCTCTACACCTTGACTGGATCAATGAGACTGCACCGGCCGTTAATATGGAGTCAGCGGGATCTGAAATGACTCCCCAGACTCATGAAGCTCACATAAATATAACATCCTTTCACTTCATTTTCAGTGTAATGAACACCATAAATAGCATACAGGGTACTGTGTACAGCTGGATCAATTCTCCACTGCAGTGCTGGGAGCGTCTCCCAGGACCTCTACCAGACATCATCTCAGTACTGAGCATGTTAAGTTCCAATACATTCACTGACAACTGTAGCTCTTGCAGTACTACATCATAATGTTGATCTTCAGAGATATTTCTATCATTAAACATTCTAGTTTTATATACTATTAGCATTAGGTAACAGAAAAATGCTAACCTGACACCATATAAAGCAAAAGTAGTTTGCAAAATTAGATTGGCTAAAGAAATATCTGGGTAGGTCAGTCATTTCAAACTGCTGACACCAAAATCATGGGCGAGGTGCATGGACTAGACTATAGATGAAAAAATATACAGAACAGGCTCTGCTAGAGTATGAAACAATTGGTCTACTTAGATGGCATGTATATTTGGTTCAATTATTTTTTTAGACATGTAAAAAAGATTATGTTGATGTAAATATGCAAATGTTCCTTGTAATATATGTATTTACAACTTATAACAGTTTTTATGTATATTTTGTATTCATATATTTAGATTCATGTATGCAGTCTCTATGTAGTGGTATGACATGGCCCCAGTAAAGGCATAACAGTGTTTTTCAGTTAACAAAGTTAAAGGAGAACTATGGGGTCAGGGCTTTTCCCCATAGTTCTCCTTAGGGTAATGGGAGGACACAAATTAGCGTCCTCCCATCACCCTAGGCTCAGTATACCGCGAGCTACAGCAGAAAGGTAAATTAACTTTAAAGGTTTATTTACCCTATATGATTTAACTGGGCTTCAAAAAAGTAGGCCAGATCAAATAAAGAGCTCCCTTTCTGTGGTTAACATATAAATATCTGTATTTATTACAACACAATGTGGAAGAACAAGTATTTTATATCAAGGTACACCCTTCAATAATAACACAACATTTGTACTGACTGAGAATACAATAGTGCAGTGAAAACTACAAATGTAAACTTGCAGATTATGGTTCAATGACCACCAGCAACATTTTACAGATATGGCGCAGATCCACATTTTTATATTCTTTTAACAATAATACATGTCATTGAGCAGCACTTACGAGTTCCCAGCACCCAACATGTACTCTCGTACATATTAGCTTCTCTAGATAAAGTCACATTGCTAGTCCAGAACTGCTCCATAACAGCTGAACTACAAAACAATTTACAATTTCTTAGCAGCAATTAAAAAACAAAAAATATAATACTCACTCAAGAACATCTCTGTTGAACTGCTTTTGCCTGTTGCCCAGAAATTCTCCAATCATTTGTCGGCTGAGTCCCTTTCTCTGCAGGAGGAAGTGAGCCACTCCAACTGGGGTGTCGGGTACAAAGCCTCGTTCAATTAGATATTGAACTCCTTTTTCTGGTTTCCTGAGAAAACAAACAAAGCCAATGTCATTGCTGAAAAGGAGGATTTTCTATCTCATTATACATTTTCTCATGTCATACAAATCATCATGTTATCCCATACAATATGAATGTCCAGTGTCTGTCACAATGTCTTTCACCTAAAACAGATTCTAATGTGGGTGAAGGTCCATGGGGGCACTGTTCCACTGTTAAGGTTCCACTGTTAAAGCTAAAGTCAAGACAAACATCTACATACACAGATGGAATATATAAAAGGGAGATGTATTACCTGCCAAAGGATTTGTATTTCTGTCTATCCTATCCTGAGATTTACACTGTTCTTCCACATCACACAGCCCCATCTGGCAGGAGAGAAGACCTATTTTTTTTCTGCTGCAGCTCAGCAACACTTATAGGTCCTCTTTCCACCCCCAGCCTATGAGCTCATCTCTCAGTCACTATGTTCTCTCCCCCTATCAGAATGCCATTTCTATTACCGATATTTATATAGTGCCGGCAATTTACGCAGCACTTTACATAGTTGCACATTCACATCAGTCCCTACCCTCAAGGAGCTTACAATATAAGGTCCCTATCTCACATGCATAAATAGAGGGCCAACTTAGAGAGGAGCAAATTAACCTACCAGCATGTCATTGGAGTGTTGGAGGAAACCAGAGTACCCAGAGGAAACCCACGCAAGCACAGAGAGAACATGCAAACTCCTTCCAGATAGTGACCTGATACTGATGCAGATACTGAGGAAGTGAGAAGCAGCAGATGTGGTCCCTTGTACATGGACTGCAAGGGACTGATACCAAGTAAAATTCAGGTACAGTACTTGCACTGCTTTTATTTTACGTATGTATTAATTAATGTATTAATTAATACAGTGATGCATTAACTGTCTCCTACATCTGCATGGAGTTAAGCAAGATACCAGATGAAATCTAAAAAAATGCGTGTGCCTAGTTCACAGTAAAAGAAACCTTAGGACCGAGAGGTCATTTTAACAATGTGACTGTGACTGTAGTTTTCAAATCTCAATGGACTCAGCTGTGAATAGCTATCACTTGTTTGAAAATAAAGACCATTATCCTGGTGTTTTAGATTTGTAAACTGAGCACATTAAACAGACAGTTTTATGATAGTTCTTAAAATGATTACTTGGCTACTTTAAGGGCCTGTGTCGATGGGCTTTGGGTTTGTGTTGATGGATTCAGTTTAAAATGCTTCTGAGATCATTCAGACCTGCATTTGACCTGCATCAAGTGGGTTTTTCATTCATCTACCCTAGGGATGCACCGACATCGATACTAGTATCGGTATCGGTGCCGCTACAGAGTATTTAGGCGAGTACTTGTACTCGCCCAACTGTGCTCCGATACCTTCCCCGATACTAAAACTTCCGGTCAGAAGAAGATTTCCTCTGACCGGCAGTGCCGTAGGGGAACATGGAGCCGGCTTCCTGGGCAATCAAGAAGCCGGGTGGCGAGTAATAACCCGCCTCCCGGGAAGCCGGCCCCATGCTGATTGGCTGGGAAGCCGGCTTTCACGGCCAATCACAATCAAGCCGGCCAAACAAAAGGGAGCCAGGTTTCCCTGCAATCAGGAAGTCGGGTAGCATGTCATTACCCACCGCCCGACTATCTGATTGTCCGGAAAGTTGGCTCCATGCCAGCGGAAGCATCGGTATCGGCACTCAGTAGCACTCGAAAGCAAAATGTCGATAGTCGTACTCGATACCGAAAAACTAGTATTGGTGCATCCCTGATCTTCTCTATAGCTTCGCCCTTTTGAAACCAAATCCCTCCATTACTCTTTCTAACTCAGTTGTCCCTCCTTTTGTTCTAATGTATAGACCTCTATAAAAAGTATACTATTTAACTATTAAAAGTGTTATACCACAATAAAACTTTAATCAAACCGAGAAATGATTGCATCAGTTAGTCTAAAAGCCAGTATACAGAAAAAGTAGTGGTGAAAAAAGCACTTGATCAGTCAACTTTTGCATATTCATTTTTCAAGTGTTTGTGAAACTGGGGAGTGGCAGAGGTGTCCCTGCATATTTGCTGCTGTCCCTCTTTCCAATTTCAGAAAGTTTGGAGTCATGGCCTGCACACACACAACAACACTGTGGACTCTACAAACACATTGGGGGTGATTTACTAACCTAAACACACGCACGCACTAGGTGCGTGTGATTTTTACACAGCAAAACGTATTTATCAACCAAAAAGTCTCTAAAAGCATATTTCCACTAATGCCATATATGGAAAAATCATGCACATGATGCATATATAATGCTGCTTCACAGTTTAGACAAAAATGGTTAGCTCATGCATTTACATTCCTGCATTCATCAACGCAAGCAACACAATGTAGAGCTAATTTACACAACATCACCTTGCAATTAATGCAGGGCTTTGCACAACACACCTGTTGGGTGTGTACACACTACAAAGGTGTCTAGATTCCACCAATAGATCATGCTGGGAGGGAACACACTACAGAGGTGTATACTTGTTCGTGGCGTGTTTATAAGGTTAGTAAATCAACCCCATTATATCAACTAACACATTGTTTTGGTATTAGGCAATCTGTAAAATATTGTATATAGCCTTCAGGGTGAAATCACTATATATATGTGATAAATATAATAAATACGTACAGGGTGGTGAATAGCACATACCTTTTCTACAGGCCTAATAAGTAAAAATGTGTACGTTTGGGCAAAAGATATACATTACTATAAAGCAGAGCTATACAATTCTAAGTGCTATACAATACAAGGGCAAAATTGTTTTTTTTCCCATTAGTTTAATATTTTAAAAAACCTATACAACATACATACATAAAAGTTCCCTTTAATTGCTGTGAACAAGAGATGCCGAGAAAAATCCTTCACACAACTATAGGGTTATGACAGAGGGAATCCTGGCAGAAGATTAATATCCAAACACTCAATGATAGATGAGCTTATCGCACTTTTGAGGTGCCCATAGACATAAAATGACAGTTTCACTATCCAACTTTTTTTTTAATGATCTCATGTCTATACAGTGATGCAGACCGCCTCCGGCCTTCTGCTCTCAGGGGGAATGTCAACTAGACAGGTAGGAAAACCTGTTCCCATTCTATTTTTTCCCTGTGAAATCAGTGATTTTTGGCATTGTCTACCTGCAATAATCTTCTACTTCCGCTGCCATCTCCATCAACACTATGCAAAATTATATTTTTGTGTTCACCATAAAATCCTTTTCTTGGAGCCCGGGAAAGCCCTCCTACTATCAGCATGCCATAGATTAGTAGAAAGACCCATGTTCCTCAATGGACTCCATTTTATGGTGATTACAAAAATGTTCTTTCTTGACAGATTTTTTTCTTTCTTTCTCTGGACAGTTAAAGCCACATCTTCTGACAGAGCCTGTGCTGACTGTTCAGACAGGAGGCCGTCTAGGTATCCCACAATAAGGATACCATAAGAGCGAACTAGAGCTAAAACTAGGGCCAGCACCTGAGGTGGAGACAAGAGTTCCAAGAGCAGAGTAATGTACTGGTATTGTAGGGGCTCCACAGCAAAGCATAGGAAATGCTGAAGCGCTGGAATGATCGGGACATGTAGATACATATCCCTGATGTTCACTAATTCTAGAAATACCATAAGATGGTGGATACCATATGAAATTATTGAGCTTGATGAAGACATTCAGTGCTTTTAGTTTCAAGATGGGGCGGCCTCCCCTTTTTGGGATTGGGAACAATGAACAGGTTGGAGTAAAACCCCTGAAACCGTTCTGCCAAAAAAACTGGGGCAATGACACTTGATGCAGAAGACCTGGGAAGGTTGGAGGTAAGAAACTGAGGGAGGAACAGGGAGCAAATCTTTTAGATGGTAAGCCCTCACGGGCAGGTCCCTTCTTACCATCTTGTCTTGATTTGTATTGTGATGTATTGTAATGGATTCCTTATATTGTAAAGTGCTGCACAAACTGTTGGCGCTATATAAATCCTGTATAATAATAATAATAATAACCCCTAGCCTGTAGATTTGGACACCACCTCTTGCACACAGGTACTGTATTTGAGATGCAAGCAGTCCAAGTGTCTGCAACGGTGAACACTCTGGAAAGTAGGGGTGCACTTTCATGCCAAGGAAGGTTTATCTGAGGATTTGATGGAGTTTGAGCCTCAAACCTTGATGGTGGACTGGGAGCCAAGCTTTCAGGTGTGGACAATTTGGGTGTGGAGAAACAAAAAGTATGTTTCTTAACTGATATAGAGGGAGAATACATTACAGTCTATTCTTTAGGCTTTTTCTTCAGAGGAAGATGGATATTCTTTCCACCAGCAGCATGCTTGATAATGGTATCAAGAGTAGATCTGAAGAAACGTTGTCCCTCAAAAAACATACAGATCAGATGCTTCTTAGACACAGGTTCCACAGTCCACTACCTAAAACAAAGTGTCCTCTGCATGTGTATGGACAGGGGACCCATGCAGGGGATAAGATGGGAAGCCTCTAGCAGCCCATTACAACTATAGCTTAAAGCTACCATTTTCTCCAAATGTTCTATAACCAAAGAATTAACCACATCAAGATTTATTTCAAAGGACTTTGATCATTCACCCAAGGTTTAACAAAGTAAAGTCACAGCCAAAAAGGGGTGACAAGCAGGGACCTGCCATTGGAGAGCTTAGCTCTAGCAGCAGTGTACAGAAGAGTCCGGATAGCAGAAAAAGATCTTCAAGTCTAAGAAAAAAGGTGCTAGCAAAGTAGGTTAGTCTTTTACACAGCACAGCTAAATACATTATTTCCATTCCCCTAAGACACTAGTAAAAACCTGAGGCATGCTGTAGAAGGAGTTATCGTGGGCTGGCCTACAGACTTTTCGTTTGCTACTGTCTAACCCTCCTCTAGGTGACAGCATATCCTGAAGGTGAAAAACTTTCTGTGTCCTTCAATGGATGCAAAAGAAATGCTGTTTATGTGACCACCAGAGGGCAGTCAGATCATGCAT